AAGGGGGGGAGGGGGTTGTAAAAAGGGGTGAAAGCTTGAAGAAGTACAAGTAGTTGTACTCGTGGAAGCTGACAGATGGTCACAGGGATGGGGAGCACGGCCCAGAGAATGCAGTGAGCATTAAGGTGATGGCTAGGTGGAGGGCCAGAGGAGAGGAAGAGCAATCGGGGGACCAGTTCATATAAATATAATAAATATATAAATGTCTAACCAATGTACTATATATTTGAAACTAAAAATAAAATTTAAAATGTAAAAAGAAAATACAATGTTCATCCAGAAGTAAATTATAATTAAAATATTTGTGCGAGGAAAAAAAAAGAACCAGGATTAAGTGATCAAACAACTCCTTGTCATACATAACATACTATAACTATTAAATTAATTAGAATAATAGCAAATATTTTAATATAAGTAAAGAAGCAGAAATGACACCATAACTTACTGATTTTTATTCTCAGGGTGTGTAGTATAATGATTAGCATGCAGTAGACACTTAATAAATGTTGAACTAAACTGTTTATCATAGAAATGAATTCTAAGATATCGAGGATGTTCGACTTCATTTATTAATTCATTCCTTCAACGAATATGCAACCAGAGATTCTGGGTACTGTTCCACACACTGGAGAGAGGGTGCTGACCCAGAGAGACGAGGCTCTGCCCCAGGAAACTCTCATCATGTCAGTCACATGGTGACCAGTGTCAGTGGGGGAAAAAAAGAAAAAAAGCGAAGGTGATCCTGCATTTATAAACAGGTGATGAATACGAAATAGATAAAGATTATGCAAGTGGCTATTTTGTGATATATAGAATCAAATTCATTCACTAAAAAAAAATAAAATCCTTGATGTACTAAATGCTAAGAACAGTGCAGGTATACATTGGTTTTTAAAAAAGGCATTGATCCCTTCACTCGTGGAGTTCACAGGCTGGTGGAGAAGACAAACAGGTAAGTATCCAATGTTGTACATAATCACTAATTCTGATAAGCGGTATTAAAAAAAATGAGGGGTACCTACTACTGTAAGTGGAGTAATGAAGGGAAACCAGTGCTATCGGCAGAGTTCAAGAGGGTTAATGGGACGGTGTGGGAGGAGGCGGACGGGGCAGGGTGACACCTGTGACTTCTGTTTAAGTTTACTGAGGCTCCTCTGAGAAGGAAGCATAAATAGGAGGGATCAATGAGAAGACTATTACAGTATTAACATTAAATTAACATGAAAGTTAATAATAATGTAAAAAGTTATGTGACTCCAACATGAGAGGGAAGCAAAAGAAATATTGCTTCATAGAGACTTAGAAAGATTCACAAAAGAGATAACCCTTACCAGTTAAGCTTTAGGATGTGAAGTGATTTGAAGACGTAAACTAGGAAAAGCCTAAAGAAAGCTAAGTATGAAACCCATTTGGAACCAGAAAAGATATTCCCATGCTTCAGAAAATATTTCCGTGGCATATTTCATTCTATTTTGTTAAAACAAGTCATCACATATAATAGTTATTATTCTAAATCACTTAGTAAATTCCTTGAGCAATTCGTTTTTTCTAAATTCTGTAATCTGCTTAATCACATTGAAAAAGCCAAGAAAAAAATGTATATAGACAAAAGCTAAAACAATATTTCTTTGTTGTAAGAATGCAACCGGAATTAATACCATGTATATAATTTAATATATTCAAATGTATTTTCTACCATATTTTACATCTGATTAGAATTTCCTTCAATGCAAATTTAATGGCACTGTATTTCACATACTAATTAGTTTCTGCTATAAGGATAAGGTATGCATGAGCTAAAAGGTAAACACAGATGCCAGTAATTTTTAATTACAGTTAAAAGCAACATGTCAGAACAAAAAGTTAAAAATAGCAGTGATAAAATAGTGGCTAAAACAATGTGATTTTTTTAAAGAATCCATTAGTCGATCATGATTATAAATGAAGAGTGCTAAAAATGCTTGGGTATAAAATAAGAATAATGATGTTTTCATGAGAAAGTTCAGAAACACATTTTCATATGTAGTCCCATGCTGCCTAACGCGGGTACACTGTCTGAGAACCACCTCCGCGGGCGGTTTTGTCGCCGAGCGGCAGCAGAGCCACCTGCACAGAGCGAGAAGGTGCCGCCTACCTCACGCGGGCCTGGGCGGCCTCGCCTGCTGCTCCCAGGCCACCAACCTGGGCGCATGTCACTGTACTGAATAGTGCAGGACACTGTGACGCAACGCTAAGTCTGTGTGGATCTGAACACATCTAAACACAGAAAAACTGTGGTAAAAATACTGTATAAAAGATAAGACCTGTACACCTGTCCGGGGCACTCAGCACGAGAGCAGCCTGCGGGACCCGAAGCTGCTCCGCGCGGGTCAGTGCAGGCTGAGCGGGTGTGAAGGCCGGAGGAGCCCGCGCTGCTGGAGACTCGACCAGCACTGCACGCGGGCTATGCTGAATTTATTTTTAAATTTATTTTTAATAGGTCAATAATAAATTAACATTAGCTTAGCGTGACTTTTTTACTTCATAAAATTTTTATTTTTTTGAACTTTTGACACTAAAACACAACTTAAAACACTACATTATAGGGCTATACAAAATTTTCTTTCTTTATATCTTTATAAGCTTTTCTTTAAAGTTTTCGAATTTTTTCTTCACTTTTTACATTTTCTTAGTTAGAAACTTTCTTAGTTAAAAACTAAGACACACGCCCGCTGGCCTAGGCCTGCACAGGGTCAGCATCAGGAACGTCACTGTCTTCTGCCTCCACACCCTCCCTGTCCCACTGGAAGGTCCTCAGGGGTAACGCCATGCGCAGAGCTGTCACCTCCCATGACAACAATGCCCTCCTCTGGAGCACCTCCTGAAGGACCTGCCTGAGGCTCTTCTCCAGGAGGTGTCACTCTTTTCAGAAACATCTCCACGGTGGTGGTTCGCTTCGATTTTTTTCTTTCTTTTTTCTTTCTTTTTTTTAATCATAGATCGACTCATATTCAGATAATGCACTATCAACAGTCCTCTCTGCTGATGAAAACCTTTCGGTGTTGGGTCCATCAAGCTTTGTGAGGAGCTTGTGGAGGTCGGCAGGAGCTTCCGCCAAACTCTGCACTGGGAATTTCTATTGCGGGTTCTTCTTCTCTTTCTCCTGCAGCTGCCCTTCCTCCTGCCTCTTCTTCAGAGATGCATTCCTGGTCCAGACCCACAACTCCTCACCAGTCAGCAACTCAGGACCCACCTCTCGGTCCTCAATGTCATCCGGCCCACACCCAGGGTAAAGCTGTGTGTCATCTCGACCACAGCCTTGGGGATTTCTGCAACCTCCTCATCCTTGGCAAATCCCTTGAAGTCACGGATGAAATTCTTCACGTGTCCTCTGCCAGGTACATTCATACACTCCTTGGTGACATCGCCCCAAGCCCAAGCAAGGTTCTCGATAGAGTCACAGATGTCGTGATCTTTCCAGAATTGCTCAGTG